ATTGAGAGGTTAAGAAAAAGCTGACGGGCTGAGAAAAAGTTGACAGGCTGAGAAAAAGTTGACAGGCTGAGAAAAAGTTGACAGGCTGAGAAAAAGTTGACAGGTTAAGAAAAAGTTGACAGGCTGATAAAAAATCGACAGGTTGAGAAAAAAAAAACTGTTAGGCTAAGAAAAAGTTGACAGGCTGAGAAGAAGCTGACAGGCTAAGAAAAAGTTGACAGGCGGAGAAAACGTTGAGGGTCTGAGAAAAAGTTGAGCGGCTGAGAAAAAATTGACAGGTCAAGAAAAACTTGACAGGATAAGAAAAAGTTGAGCGGCTGAGAAAAAGTTGACCGGCTGAGAAAAAGCTGACCGGCCGAGGAACTTCTAAGTGGGTAGAGATGTGCGCCGCCCCCCCCCCCCCCCCCCCCCCCCCCCCCCCCCCCCCACCCCCCCCCCCCCCCCCCCCCCCCCCACTCCTTTCTAACCTCGCTCCTCGAACAAACTATTCCATTTATACATTGTTTAGCAGAAAAAAAATAAACATCATCAGCATTTTTTCTTCTTCTTATGGTTGCTTTTCTGTATGTCGACGGGCGTGTAAGTATATATAGTTACATAATTTTTCTGTTTTTATTTAGTATCAAGCAACTTTGAATATTGTGTTGATTGATTCTTTCAGGCAGTATTATGTTCCTAACGGGCTATAACACTGGGACAGTCTTGCAAGGCTTTATTCTGTGGTTTGTCGGTTTGTGGGCTCAGTCCACATGTGCACAGTACATATGCGAAGCGTGTGCGTGCGCTTGTTAAGTTTATCATGTCCTGTCCTGGGGTTAAAAAAGAAATGATGACCCGTCCAAGCTGCTCAAGTACATGGTTTCATCACTGTGTTTTGGTTAATTTCTGTAGTCTAGTGTCCTAGTGGAGCAGTGATGCACAATACACGATTCTTAATGTCTGTTAGCCACTCTTGCTTAAGTCTATGTCATCTGCACATGCTCAAGCTGGTTCTCCAATTAAATCCAGTGGAAGTTTAGGGTCTCAGTCACGATCAAGAAACTGGGTTGGGGCTACAAACAAGGGAAAGGAGAGGGGATGAACCCATTCTCCCTAAACTGGGTTGGGACAACAAACGAGGGAAATGAGAGGGGATGAACCCATTCTCCCTAAACTGGGTTGGGACAACAAACGAGGGAAAAGAGAGGGGATGAACCCATTCTTCCTAAACTGGGTTGGGACAAAAAACGAGGGAAAGGAGAGCGGATGAACCCATTCTCCCTAAACTGGGTTGGGACAACAAACGAGGGAAAGGAGAGGGGATGAACCCATTCTCCCTAAACTGGGTTGGGACAACAAACGAGGGAAAGGAGAGGGGATGAACTCATTCTCCCTCCGAAGATACTCAAATCGGCAATACTGGCCCAGAAGACGGATAAAAAAACACAGTATTATGTTGAGCGTTGAACGCTGTTTGAAGAAAACAAAATCTGGCCATGTTCAACCATTTTTTAAAGGGCTTTTAGTTATAACTGTGATCTGTGTTTTGTGTGTGTGCCAAGTTTAATGTCTGAGTTAGGGTGGGGTTTTTTTTTCACACTAAATGGCTTAGTTGTGTTTTTTGTTGTCCATTCCTGGGTGTCTTGTGTTGATCCATATATGGCTTCCTCTTTGTCAGTTTTTTTTTTTTTCCTGATTGTGCTTCCTGTTGTTTGGTAATGCTTGCGTGATTTATATGACAGGTTTTTTTGTTTTATTTATTTCCTTTCTTATTTCTTTTTTTTTTTTTTTTTTTTTTATTCTTTCTTAAATTTTTTGGTTTCCGTGGTCCGCAATTTTTTTTTTTTTTAATTCGAAGTCTTCGTTATATTTCCTGCCCAGGGTCCTTTTTTCTATAACCCTAATCCGTTATGGTGACCTAAGAATAGTCCGTTCTGGAAGGATCTCGGCTATGGATTATCCTCATATTGCAAGTTGAGCCGTGTCTGGATGAAATTACTGAGTGTTTCATAAAAACTCTGTGACAAATTGTTACAAAAGAAAATTTTCTTAGTAAAATCTTTCCTTGCACTAAAGTTTTTTTTTTTAATTTATTTATTTTTATTTCAGTATGTATTACAACCCTGTCTGAATTAGGATTCCATAAGTAATTATGTACTATAATTGTTCTATGATAAATTGTTTATTGACGAACAGTTTAGTTCTAGCAGATAATCGAGACTTTGTCACAAGCCTTTAGTGCAACCCTGCCTGTTCGTATCCCTGGTATATGGTCTCCCCGCTAACGCTAACACTTGGCCACTCTGACATTGACGTTTGCTTCGCTGCTTCATGAGCTCCCCTCCAGTTCTGCTTGGCTCTATTTTCCATCGGTTTCGAAGTGTTGACCACATCACCCCCCCCCCCCCCCCCCTAGTGTGGATTGGTCTATAAAAAAAATAGGGCGTGAAAAGTGTCCTTGATGTTTACACTATCCTCCTAGTTTTTTTTTTTTTTTAACCTTTGTTCAAGAAGACTGCACTTTTAATCCTTCACCACGGCATCAAAGAGGATCCCACGCGTTTTGTATTTTGTGCAATTCCAACATTCAACATGATGGGATAAGCCAAGTCTGTGCCTGCCACCTGTCGACCTCCTTGTCGCTTCTGCTTTACATATTCCCATTAAAACTGTTTTCATGGCTTTTTTTTTTAACTTTTATGACTTAAGGCTTGCAAACATAGGTAAGCAATCCTGTCTTATTGGTGTTCGAAAACAGCGATATAACAGCAGACCGCTTTGCGTTGATTTTGATAATACCATGAGACTATATCATCAGAAAGAATGATATATTCCTAAATTCAACGTTGCCTAGTTAATCCCTATATCATCATTATCATAATTATCATTATCATCATTATCATTTAGCGGGTCCTTAGAAGAATGTCGCTCTCCTGACGGTCTGCCTGAAAGAAACTTGGTCTCTTGTTAGCTCTCCCGCCACGTCGCCGTCACTAATTAAGGTGTTACTTATATCCTGTGCCTGTCTTTGTGCTGACTTGTCCCCTGCCCCTCTTTCCGCCGTCTGTTATTAGTCTTTCAAATCCCCTGTGACGCTTGATATGGTCAAAATATGTCAGTTTTCCTGACAATATGCTTTTCCTAGCCAATCTTCCATGATGTTTAAACCTTTTGAATGTCAGTATTTGTGTTCTTCATATTTCATGGTGTTCAGATAATCTGCCTATACTATTTCAGCTCAAAAGCCAGTATTTTCTTCCTGAATGACTGCGAGATTGATTGATGTTCCCCCCCCCCCCCCCCCCACTAGGACATCAGATCAAGTGATAAACACACGACGACACAAAGTGTCACCATGCGGATGAGGATCACTCGTGGAGAGGTCCCAGAAACGCCGTTCAACCCATAGGTTGAGTTATATTAAATTCTCCAGCAAGAGCCAAGGTTGGGCTTGAAAATAATGAAAAATAGCGTCCCATTTTGGGACGGTGAAGTTAACTGCGAAATGTACTCCACGGCTCTCCTGGGTATGTTGTTAGTACGTGGAAGATCTATGCTCTCGAAATGTTTACCTTGATGTTCTTCATGGAGCACACCTACAAGCGTTAATATTGCCTAATGAAAGCCTACAACAGCCAATAAATCCTGGGGTTTGTTCGTAGATTAGGGAAAAGGATATATAAATTACTGTTTATTTAGTTCTCTACGGGATGAGATGGAGGGGGTGACCACACGCTTCCCTGCCAGCACCATGGTCTTTGGCACACATCAGCATCTATTCTGTTTGTTTAATGACATTGGCTACTAAAATTTACCCATCCTAACATATGTAGCAGGGAGCCGCCATGGCGTAGCGGCTAGACTCTCGCATGCGGATTGGAAGGTCGTGGGTTCGCTCCTTGGCAGAGCCGGACTTTTTTCAAAAATAACCTTGACCGCTAGGTCGACCCTGCCTTGAGCGGGTACCGGGTGCAGTCCAGGGAAGTAAAGGCTGACCACATCATCCATCTTGTGCCGATTGGTTTTTAAAAATATAGGTCTAGCCCTATATGCCTATACGCCAGAAAGCGTGGAAAAGGGACCTTGAGTTTACTAACATAGGTAGCAGCCAAAGCTCTGGGAAATGAAAGAGGGCTGGGTCATGCTAAACAGGTCGCCCAACGAATCGCATTGTTCTATGTTAATTATATGCGTCCCGCATCTTAGGACGCTAAAGACCCGAAAATGATCATTTATACTTTACAGGGTGCAGCTAAACAGTGAGTGGGTTAGCAGGTTTCCTTATTTAGACAGTAAAATACAACACATCTCTTGCAGGAAGCTGCCAGGATGTAGCGGCTAGACGCTCGTCTGCGGATCGGAAAGTCGTATATTCAAATCCACATGGAGTAGAATTTTTTTGTGTAACATGAACTTGACTCCTTGCTCGAACCAACCTTAAATTAGTACTAGGTGAAGTCCTGGAAAGTAAAAGTTACCAGTGTGATATTAGGCACATTCCCTATCGATGGCCGATAATACAAACATTACCTCCCCATTTACACAGTGTTATACACTAGCTCACTTCTAATTGTTCGACCTTTAGCCTAGCTTCTTGCCACAAGGTTACGGAGGTTTCCACGCAATGCGGTTGATATCGCGTTTTGCATATTTCAGTGCGCCAGCGCTTTTAACACCTCAAAAACATCGATAAACTGGGTCTAACATAAGACTCCCTTAAGAGAGTGATGCTCTGAATAAAAACGTAATTGCAAGACAACCCAGAAAGCAAACAACGGAGCGGCACATCGTAACCTGCAGGAAGGTAGACAAGCCCAAAAAACCTAAAAATGGAACGTGACCTACTTTGTTTGGGGAGACTAACGTGTGTATAACCCGATGACCTATAAAAATATGAGTCTGGCCTCAAATTCCCGATGCGCTAATGGAGTGTAAAAGTACGCTTACTTTATTTTACTTTAACTCTCTCGTAGCTTTTGTCTGTCTTGCTCTCAGAGACTTACCAATTTCTTCTGCTGGAACTATGCCTGTCTGTCTTGAATACCTAAAACTGGTTCACCATTTATGTGAGCAATGTCAGCTGTGTCGTCATAGAAACCATAGTTTTCATATTGAGTCTGTCCGTGTTGTTGGTGGTCAGACTGTCCTTGGCGACCTCTAATGTGTGAGCTGCTGACCTCAGACTGACCGTAGCGACCTCTACTGGATGAGCTGCTGACCTCAGACTGTCCGTAGCGACCTCTACTGGATGAGCTGCTGACCTCAGACTGTCCGTAGCGACCTCTACTGGATGAGCTGCTGACCTCAGACTGTCCGTGGCGACCTCTACTGTTTAAGCTGCTGTCATCAGACTGTCCACGGCCAGCTTGTACATGGCTCCTGTTTCCGTTAGCAGCACTGTCGGACACCAAAGTGTGGATGGTAGAACTGCTGCCAGCAATCGGAGAAGCTGTCACACAGGTGGGGGAATAAAGAAGAACAAAAAACCACTTTTACTGCCAGTATTAGCCCCATTTAAAGGGGTGTATGCGTGTGTGTAAGGGAAGAGTGGGAGAGGGAATTGGCGTGAGCCTTGGGATTTTGGGCCTCGTGGCAAGTGCTATCGATACGATTTATGCAGGGTAAAAGTAGTTATTCTTGTTTACTCCCGACCTGTCATTCAAGCAGCTTCCTCGGCTTAGGCATTGCGAGTCCGACTCATAATTCCAACATACCGCGATCGAAACCCACTGCTGGCTGCGTGGATTTTTATCATGGTGTGGGGTGTGGCAGCTCGACACAGACTAAAATTGGTACCAGGATGGGCTGTCCTGGGGAAATAAAGACGGCTGGCGTAATGCTGACCACATTACCCACCTGGTGCCGATTGTTCTGTCAAAACATGGGTCTTCTCATATGCCCGATGCACCTAAAGGCGTGAAAAGGGGATCTTTACTTTACTTACATGTCATTCTAATTGTTAAACCAGCCTACAAGGGAGAATAATAATTACAATGTGAATCAATGTTAAATTATATATTATGACCTTTGCTTTCCACAACTTTCTTTCTGGCTAGTTTTAATTAAGTCCAACATGTATCCGGTAAACCAATTGTAAGCTTGCAGACTGCTTTAATTATGCTACATCAAAGACTTTTTATCTCACAGTACCTTTTGCAAAATCACCAATTCGTCTTGTCCTGTCCGAATAACATCCGTTAATATGTGCAGCAGGGAAAACCAAGCCTCAGCTTCATTGTTACATTGGCGATGCTGTACTCAAGCTCTTAAATCGTTACCTGGTCAGTTTCGACGTTTAGTTATCTCCAACTCTTTTCCCTCCTTGGTATTGTGGGTCATCCTTTCAATGCTTTGAGCTTAGACATTTCGTCATAATACCTCACAACCGTACCTCTGTGTCTTTTAGCTCTGATAATGTCGTTTATCATGATGTTGTCTAATACATAAACAGAAATGTGAAGAAATCATCAACACTAAGAAATTAGAGGAAGAGAATATCAAACATGAATTTGAACTAGAAATAACAAAGGCTTTTGCAGATATTGCCAAGGAACCAGTAGGAATTGAAGAAGAATGGGATTATTATAAATCAACCATCACGAAGATATTAAAAGACAAGTGTGGTACCAGAAAGACGGGCAAAGGCAAGAAAAAGGGTACCGCTTGGTGGAATGAAGAAGTCAAAGAAGCAGTGTCAAATAAAAAGAAGATGTTTCAAATATGGTTAAAAACAAAAGACGAAAAGGATTACATTAGGTACAGACTAACTCGAAGAGACACCAAGAGAACAATAAAGAAATCCAAAGAGGAATCATGGAAAAAGTATGGTGAACACCTAACACAGCTATGTACAGAATCATCAAGAGACTTTTACAAGAGTGTGAAAGCGATGCGATTAAGAGAAGAAAGCTTCAATCCAACATCAGTCATAAATGATAAAAATGGGAAACCATTATTCGGCCAAAAAGAAATTAAAAAAAGATGGGAGGAATATTTTAAAGAACTTTTGAACCCGTCGGGAATACATGAAACAGCAGAATTCCATTCAAGGGCTCCAGATCATCTAGAACCACACATCCTGCGGGATGAAGTAGAGAAAGTTATCAAAACAAGTAAAAGACACAAAGCAGCTGGTATCGACGGAATAACAACAGAAGCCATCCAGGCTGGAGGGGACACTATGATCACCTGGCTGGAGAGAATTTTCAATAGAGCATGGGCAGAGAGAAAGGTACCAGTGGATTGGCAAAGATCAGTTGTAGTACCTATCTGGAAGAAAAAAGGAAACAAGAGAGAATGTGGAACTTATAGAGGAATATCTTTACTAAGTCATGTGGGGAAAATGTATGCAAAGATCTTAGAAGGCAGGATAAGAGCAAAGGTTGAACCTCTACTGAGTAAAGCACAATTCGGTTTCAGGAAAGGGCGAGGTTGCACTGATGCCATATTTGCACTAAGACAAGTCTGTGAAAAGACACTCGAATACGATAAAGAGCTGAACGTGGTCTTTGTAGACCAAGAGAAGGCATTCGACCGTGTAGACAGAGATGTGCTGTGGAGAATTCTTGACGATTACGGAGTGCAGGGTCAATTATTAGACAACATCAGAGCCCCTCTATGAAAAAAGTGAAAGTGCAGTAAGAACATCTAGTGGTCTTTCTGAATGGTTCAAAGTCACAACTGGTGTCAGACAAGGATGTGTACTGTCACCATTACTTTTCATAACATACATGGATAAGATCCACTGTAGAAGCAAACCCAGACGTGTATGCTATAAACGAAATTACTTTTTTGCTGATGATCAAAGCATACTGTATCAAAATGAATATGATCTACAGGAACATCTGACTACTCTCAACAACAGCTGTTTTTACAAACATAATATGAGAATCAGTACAGAAAAAACAGAAGTTATGAAGATCAGCAGAACACACAGGCCACTGAATATAAATGTTGGAAGTGCCAAAATCAAGCAAACCAAAGAGTTTCAAATACTTGGGCAGTATATTTACAGAGGATGGAAGAATGGACAGAGAGATAGAAACAAGAATACAGAAAGCAAATGCTGTCACATACCAACTATCACCTCTGCTTAAACATCCAGATATAACCATGAAGACCAAAAGACAATTGATAAACACCATCTTCATTCCAACACTCTGCTACCAGTGCCAGACATGGACAATCAACAAGACCCACGAAAGAAAAATAGAAGCCTGTGAAATGAAATGTCTAAGAAAAGCAGCGAATAAGACCAGACTAGACAGGATAAAGAATATAGACATTAGAAACACTGTCAAAACTACACCATGTTTAGACTACATAGAACATCAAAGAATGAAATGGTTTGGACATCTAACCAGGATGAATAATGATCAAATAACATCGCAAATTTTCAACCAAAGAAGCTCAGGATATAAGGCAAGAGGAAGACCAAGGAAACGGTGGATTGACGGGGTCTCCGAAACCTGCCAAAAGCATGGCCTCAGAACATCAGATGCTGCCCGCCTTGCTTACGACAGGAACTTGCATCTCCCCACAACGCTTAGCGGCATACGTGGAAGGAAAAAGTAAAGTAAAGTAAGTCTAATACACTTCGACTGCTCGCGTGATATCCCATGGATACCGGGTCGCGAGAAGTATTCTTGACAAACCCGTCCTCTAGTATTTGAGTCTAGGGCCGCGTTGGCGGAGTCGATAGGAGACTCGCTTTCAAATCCAGCTGCGACTCGCTGCAGTCCACGGTTGGTGTTCGAAACCGGGCGGTTTCCGAGGCTCACTAAGCCTATAGGAGTTGGGTACCTGAGTTAACATTCTGGGTATTTGGAGGAACGTCGCTGTAGCTACGGAGTTGCGTGCGGATGGCGACACAGGCTGAAAGTTTCTTCTCAGCTGTCCAAACTGGTGGCAGAGCACTTATGATTTATAACCGTGTGCAATGACGATGGTTCACATCTCCTGACTTTACCTTTTCTCCAGTATTTGAAATCCAGTTTCGGGGCCTAGATAACTTGAAGCTATTGCATAGGAGTTAGGTGTTCACCCTTAGTGATTTGTGAGGATCATCATCAGAGCACTCCGGACAGTTCCACGGGTGCTCCAAATCCCTCACCAAAAACTCCACAAGCGTTAAACGACAGATAAAACCTGCTCTGTATTGATTAAACAAACGTCTTGTCTTCTTTGTGAAATTTTCATTCTTTGCAGTTCCAGTTTGCACCCCTATGTCCATCAACATAGACAGGGATACAGGGTCATGACTTTTACCGAGTTCGCCTTAGCTTTTAGTGGTGTGCATGGCATCACATAGCACAATGATGAAAGATAGGTGAGCCATTCGTGAAGTGTTCAGCGTTGCAATCCATTCTTGCCTGATGAACCTAGCTGGATCTTCTTTAGCATTTTCATTGAGTCACCAAGTATGCACGCTTGTGTGAACTCTTGCGTGCCGAGCCAAACTTATCCCCTTGTGACCGCCAGTTTCCATGTAAGGCTACTAGTTGTAACAGCAACGGCGCCATTATTCTCCTTGATGGTTTTTCCCCGTGAGCTCACTGTGAAGGCCCACGCACTTCGCTTGCCTGGAATTACTTATCTGTCTGTGCAGACTACACAATCTTGTAGCATTTAAAAGATCCCCCCCCCCCCCCAACCCAACCCACACACACCCAAACCAACTGTTCAATAATTCTACGGCTAAAAAAGTAATTTTTTATAAGGCTTGCACTTACATTTCATCTGTCGGTTTAAGTTGGTATCAGAGTCTGAATGTTTGCCCTGCAAGAATACATAACATCAATTTGATAATTAACCAACAAAAACTGTGGTGTGTTGCATAAAGTTAGGTGTGAATTGTCGCCAGTTGCACTGCTTCGTGGATACGATAATCAGATACTTTTCTCACATTACAAAAGTAAATAAAATTCAAAACAACTTAAAAAGCCCTTCCCACACCTTCCTTTTAGTAGATACTCATCAGTATTGTAGGACTGGATTTAACACAGTCCTTAATTAATTATATCAAGCACACCGTTTTTGCACCGTATGGTGCAGAAATCTGGACAATGAACAAGCAACTAAAAAATCAAACTGAGTCTCTGGAAATGGTGATATACAAAAGAATGGTTCGGGATTTAATGGAAACAAAAACAGTCAAATACAGTGGTTCTAAAAAGGTTGCGACTAAACAGAGAGTTTCTGGGGGAAAAAAATACAGTTCAAACATTTCGGCCACATTAAGAGAGGCGACAGAGCAAGCAGTAGACTATGATACAATTGAAAGCAAAACATCAAATGATGAATGGAAAGCCGTGTAAGAAAGCGTGAACTATCGAGGCAAGAGACATAACGTGATGGGGTTCCTTTGCAGCCAACCGTCAAAGTGGAGATGGACTTATTGAGACAATCAAAATGCTACTTGGGAAGTGAGAATATTATAGCATTTTGAAACGAATCAATTTTCAAATGAACAATCAATCCTCATCGCGCCCGGAGGCACAGAAGGCAGAGACAAAGTGTCGCCACTCTATTCCACCGTGAGCCATCCTCTCTATCTCCAGTTTTGTCCTTCACGTAGCGCTAAGTTCCGCCTCAAAGGTTCGCCTCCAGGTACCACTGGGCCGGCCTCTTCCTGGCTGTCCCTGTGGTGTCCATTGCATTGCCCGTCTCGGCCGTCTCTCTTTCTTCATTCTTCATTTTTTTTTTTTTTCCAAATTTACATCTTCTAAGTCTGTCATTTACTGTAATCTAGAAGTGCTGATTTTATGTTCCCATGTGAACCCCAACAATCTTCTGAGAATTATTCCCTCAAAACTTCTGAGCATGTTCTCTATCTTTCTGTTTGTTTTCCAAGTTTCTTCTCCACAGAAGGAAACTGTCCTAACGCATGTTTTGTATATCCTGAGTTTAGTTTTAGTAGATGTTTGATCTCGAGAACTTTGAAGTCTGTTGGAAGCAGCTTTTGTCTTTGCACTTCTTTGCTTGATTTCAAACACTATATTTCCGTCCGAGGAGATATTGCTTCCCAGGTAAGTGAAGTCAGTTACTGTTTCCAAGCCTACCTTGTCTATTACTATAGGTGAGTTTCACGTTTAGGGTTAATCTCCAGCAATTTTGTTTTATTGACATTGATTCTTAACCCTGTCTGTTTTCATATTTATGTGATCATATCTGTCTTTTGTTGCAGATGTTCTTTACTTTGGCTGATGACACAGATGTCATCTGCAAAGTCCAAATGTTCCAGGTGTTCGAGAAGATTCCACTGGAGGCCCGCCTGTTTTCCTGTTGTTGCTTTCTTTGTAACATAATCTATCTTTATAAGAAACAAGAAAAGTGACAGAATGCACCCTTGTCGGACTTCTGGTGTAACACTGAAGTATTCTCTTGCCATGAGTCCTACTATCATTTTGCACTGGTATCCTTCGCAGAGTCCTTAAAATATGTTTATAACTGTATCTGGTAATCCATACGCAGCAAGAATCCTCCACATCATTATTCTATCTAGACTGTCAAAGGTCTTTTCAAAGTCTATAAAGTTTATATATAATGTTGCACTCCAATCTAAAGTTTGTTCCAGGATATTTCCGAGAGTGAAAAAAATGATCACAGCAGTTTCGTTCTTTTCTAAATCCTGCCTGATCTTCCGACAAAACTCTGTCTATTTACTTCTTCATTCTGTTGTATATCACCCTACAGATTGCCTGTCCAGGTACAGACAATAATGTTATGCCTCCCCAGTTGCCGCAGTGTGAGAGATCACCTTTCTTCCGTAGTGGTCTGATTACACAATTTTTCTAGCTACTCTGTTGGGACCACTTCATATTTTGTTGAATATTTATTGTAATGCTTTTGCTGTAAATTGTAGGTCTGCCTTTAACATGTCAGCACTAACTTGGTCTTCACCTGGTGCCTTCTAATTCTTCATACTGCTTATTGCCGTTTCTATTTCTTAAACGCTGATTGGCCTAATATCCGTTTCTATGAGTTGGCCTCAGTTTTCTGCTGTTTTCACTGGGATATCTGATGCTGGCTTTTTTAGCAGCTCAGTAACATAATCTTGCCATCTGCCAACCCTTCCTCGTTCCGTTGTGATTATGTCTCCTGTTGTGTCTCTCAGGTTTCCATCATTTAAGCTAAAATGTTTCCAAGATCCTTTGTTATTTTATACAATATTCTAGTAGCACCTGGCATTTCTGCTGCTTCCGCTTTGGCAGCTTTGAGTTCCAAGGTCAAAATGGACGCTAGGCCGGGGCACAGTTTGGAGCCGAGGCAAATTTTTTGTTTCTGCCCGACGGTGGCCGATGCAGTTTTGCTCCATTTGTAGACTGGATATAGTTTCGTCGCCCAGCTTCTGATTTGAATGCATGGCGTGACACTGTGAGCTGCGGATTTCATTTGGAATGTTTTTTCGCCTGTGACCAACGTGGTGGTGTGAATTGTAGATTCAGAAAATGGCAGGATTCATGTCGTCGCAATGTTGGTGGTGCCCGTATGTGATTAAAATTGATCTCGTGGGCAACTGC